CGTGACAAGAGATAAAAGGATAGAAGATACAGGAAAATAAAACAAGTATGAAAATGTAACATATGAATCGGTTGGGATTGAGAGTGTCCTTCACTTTATGATGTGACCAGCTGCTGTGATTATGCTTTTTTAATAAACATTTATTTAAGGATAAGGCCAAGAGGACATGATGGGAGTCACTGCTGCAAGCAACAGCTGCTGAGAGCAATGTCCTATTTGGAAAGGGTAAAATAATAATTATTTTACTGGTGTAGTTGATGATCTGGGAATTTTGATTTGCTTTTTGACTGAGAGACAGTGGGACTAAGACCTGACGTCAAAGCTGAGCTGTTACTGTATGAGTTCCCGCAAACTTCCTCAGCAGAAATCGAAACTGCTTGACCAGAGTCACAGCTGTCTGGATTTGATTTTGGGTTCTGTTCTTAAAACCACACACTGACACTTACGCTAGAAGAATGCAGAGCTCCAAATGTTATCAGCATCAAATAGAACAAAAGCTCAATAGTAGAGGAAAGACACTATAGTTACAACATTGGCATAAGTGTCCACATGTTATAGCCGTGTTATAACAGTAGTAATGTGACGTATCTCAGTACTTGGGTTTCATGACACATAATTCGCACCTATAGCAGAGCTGAACCAGAGGAGGAACTACAAACTGGTTTTTACGTTATTTTAACAGTATGGACAGATGCATTCTCAATCTGAAATCCAAATCTGGCTAATCATCCAGATCATCTAACTATGTTACAAAAACAGGCATGAGTATTTACTTACTCTGACCTCTGAGAAATTTCTATGAGGGCTTCTCAAACGTTAATGAGTGGTATTACAGCCAGTTGCAAAAGTTTGCATAACCTTAGGACACAATGAAAAAGAAGATTGAAGAAAAAGAAGAAATTTAGTTTAGAGCAACAAGACAGATTGTGTGTCCATTTCAGACATGCTCATTTATTATCAAAAGCAACAACATATTAACAATTTTTTAAAAAAAATGTATAATAAATGCTCAAAAGGTTCCATTTTCCAATCTTAACTGCCTCCGACTGCTTTCTGAACAGATTTTGGATCCTTTCGGTTGTAACATTCAGCCAATAACCAACCGAACCCCATACATTTTCTTCTTGACATACTGTATCTGTTTTAACTGCATATATACCCACTATACCCACTATATACAGTCATACATTATCTTCTTCCAGTCACAACTAAAAACTGAAAAAACTTGATTTTACTATGTACTGGCTTGTTGTCTTGTTACATGATGCATCTTTTTCTACTTGTTTTTTTTTTTTTTGTAGATAAATTGTAAAATATACAGTAGGTGTACACACACTATATGGCCAAAAGTAGGTGAACACCTGATCACACCCATATGTGGGCCTTCCCTGAGCTGCTGCCACAAAGTTGAAGCACACAACTTTCTAGAATGTCTTTGTAGACTTTAAGATTTCACCTCACTGGGGCTAAGAGGCCCAAACCTGTTCCAGCATGACAATGTCCCTGCGCAGAAAGCAAGATCCATGAAGTCATGGTTTGCCAAGGCTGCACAGAGCCCTGACCTGTCTCACTGAACACCTTTGGGATGAACTGGAACACTGACTGCACCCCAGACCTCCTCACCCCAACATCAGTGCCTGACCTCACTAATGCTCTTGTGGCTGAATGAGCACAAATCCCCACAGCCACGCTCCAAAATCTAGTGGAAAGCCTTCCCAGAGGAGTGGAGGTTATTATAACAGCAAAAGGGAACTAAATCTGGAATGGGCTCTTCGACAAGCACACATGGGTGTGATGGTCAGGTGACCACATACTGCTGGCCATATAGTGTAGGTATATAGATATATTACATGTTTTACATTAGAAAACCATGGGGGATACAGAGTTGTGCCCTTGACTGTTTGTGTGTTCAGCTCTGACATTCAGGGGGAAACATACAGGTGCTTCAGGTATTACAATTCCATGGCCTCTTTTTCCAAACGCAAGACAAATATTCACAGTGAATTTTGATGGCGTTGCCTGTGGAAATAAAGCCTGGAGAGAGAGAGAGAGAGAGAGAGAGAGAGAGAGAGAGGTCTAAAATAGAAAATGTCTCTGTTGGCTTGTGGAAACAGAGTGGGCTGTACGCCCAACACTCCCACGCAAGCAACACGGCTCACCAGCAGCACAATGACAAATTGGGAATGGAGTTAAGGTAAAAAGCTGCGAGGCAGGTGAGGGGCGAGTGAGTGAGATCACATGGAGCAGTACTGTTTATTTTTACTCACTTTACCCCAGTAAATAAAAAGACAGACGGTGTCTATCATCGTGCATCTGCAACAATGGCTTTTTCCACTGCCACTATCCTTCTGTTCCCGGATGACGCATCATGAGAAGATTAAAGCTGTAGTCGACCATGTCTGATCTGCCACTGAGTATCTGTTTTTCGGAGCATTTGCGTGCGGCGTGAGCCTAGGAGGGGATGGAGTGATCATTCACACCATGTCATGTCCACGAGCACCTCCGCAGTTTTGGAATGAGAGACTATGAACCAGCGGAGGATGTAACCCCTTTGTGCACAGGGCAACAATCCAGGAAAGTCGGCATCCAGCACAGCTTGGTTATTTCGGTGATTATTTTTAGCTTTAAAACACTGACCACACCTGGTCATTAACTGCAGACCTGAAGCAGGTGTGTTTGAGCAGGAAATTAACCAAACTGGATTTCTATTTCTGTAATCCTGTTAGTTGCTCATGCTCAGTCTACTCCCTTTTTTAACTAAATTATGACCCTATTACAAACATCATATGTGCTAGTTGAAAACGTAATCACCAGCACTCCTGTATATTCAGTACTGTTTGGTGGATTCCAGCTCATTCACCAGTTAACGATTTAGGTTTAATAGGTGTGTTAGTGCAGGAAATGTCATACAGAAAGGGCTCCACCCCCTGGACTGTTCACTCTGCAGCAAGCAGTACTTTAACACTGACTACAAAGGTTGCAAAAGAAAGAACACTGTTTTTTTGAGGGGGGGTTTGTTTTCAGTTAAAAAATTTCTGACTTTTTTTTTATTTTTCTTGTTTTCTTTGGCCGATTTGAGCTGGGTAGGATTATATTTGGTACAAGTGATCTCAATGCTACTAAAGTTACTAAATTAGCCACTCTTTCCAATGATGCCATTGGATGAACCCTACCTGGTGGTAGGGTTGCTATACTCTCTCTCCCCTATTAACCACAGAGACACAAGTCAGTCATGGGTGTCTGTGAGCTTATGTACATGGAAGAGGGTGGTTAGCACTTTCCTCCGAGTGTGTTACACCGCTCTGTTAAGCAGAATGAGCAGTAGTTCATGCTTTTTAATATTCACACTGAAAATCCAAGACAATGTTTCTCATGACATTATAAATGGAAAAATATGGCTAAATTAATCTGATCTCACCAAGCTTCACCAGTAAAACACACAACCCTAATTGGTCAATAAATGAGAAGACAGTAAAACTAAACTTTATCTATTTTATTAAACCATTTTATCTACCAGTAAAAGAAACAGAGTTAGCAAAAATTAAATTTGAGTTTATAATCTTGGACACTGTCTAAATATTTAATTACGCAATATTGCATTAGTTAGGTTTGAACATTAGTGGGTTTTCTAACGTACTGGTTAATATGGATATTTCCTACGTAATTACAGGTTTACCATCTGCCAGGGTAGGTTCTACTCATTCCCACTGGCATATTTTTTTTTTTTTTACAATTCGACCCCTGTCTGCAGGTCGACAAGTAGACAGTGTCTCCTTATAAAGTGTTTCTGCTGACTGAGCATGACTCATTGCCATAAAGTAGAAGTGCTGTTTTGTGTGCTCATTTCTGTGCCAAGGAGTGAGATTCACTCGATCCAGCTCCTGTTATGTCCACCCTGTGTGCAAGCTTCCAGGAAAGTAGTTACTCTCCGGTGGACCAAAAGTCGCAGACTCCAGCTTTATATAATGCGTAATGCTACACTATAGAGGTAAATTGGTCTTGGAAAATGCCACATACACCCAAGTGGTCAGGTTATTAGGTATACCTATCACATTAACGCACTTCATAGGGACACTTATGGTCCCCTCTTCCTCGACCTTCAGTGTATAGGGACCACCAGGTTCGTTTCTAGCTAGATGCGATATAAGCAGTCTGATTGCAGCTGTAAGAATGCAGGCTTTTAAAAATATATTTGTTACCAAAGTTCAGTCTTTCGCAGACGGCCCCCTTGTGGTCTGCAACTGGAGTATGACTGGCACCAAGTAGGATGTTGCTTATGGCACCTAAAGATTCAAAAACAGCCGAGCAGACCACCATAAGACCACCGTTGAACAGATATTTAGGCGGTGGTTTATTCTCCGCACAACAGTAACACTGATATGATAGTGTTTTTGGCACTGTTACGTGGCAGAGCCAGTTGAACTGGGGTTCCAGTTGCGTGAGTATTTAAACACCTAAATACACTGCTGTTTTAAGAACATCATCCAAAAATATCCAGCACTCCTGTGGTCAGAAACTGACACTGATGAAGGGTTAGAGCACAATTAACACAAATTCATGCATGAAAAACACCTACAAAGTGCACTAACAATGTTGCTGTGTTTAAAAAAAGTGACCAGTAATTGTACACAGGGTTTAAATACTCAACAACACTGCTGAGTCCACCCAAGTAATATCCTGTCAGTGGTGACCATATGGTGGTCCCTTTACACTGATGGACAGGGGCTGACACATTGCTGGGCTACACTCAGAAAAAAGAGTACTGAGCTGTACCTTTTCTTGTCACTGGGGTGGATGTAGTATAAGATTTAAGGCACATAATTGGGCCATACTTACCTTGAATATCCATCTCTCCTTCCATTCTCTGGGTTGCAGGGTAACCTGGAGCCTATCCCAGGGGACATGGGCCACAACCTGGATGGGGTGTCATGTCATTGAACTGGGAGAAAAAACTGGAGTATGTGGAAGCACAGGCAGAGCATGCAAGTTCCATGCACACAGGGCAAAGTCAGGAATCAAACCTCCAACCATTGGGGTGAAAGGCAACAGTGCTAACCACTATGCCACTAAGCCACCATGCCCCACTACCTTGAAGGCTTCAAGGTAAAAGATACAAATTAATGGTACAAAGGATGTACAGGATGGTACATTAGTACAATTTTTTCCAAGCATGTGCATATGCAGTGGTGGCAGGGGTTAGGCCTCTGCTCTACTAATTAAAAGGTTGTGAGGTCAAATCTGGGTACCACCAAGCTGCCTCTGTTAGGCCCTCATCTGTTCAGTGTAACTGTAATTTGCTTTGGATAGAACTGTCTGCCAAATGAATAAATATAAGGGTAAAATTTATCTGAAAAAGGGGCATGAACGCTCTGGTAAGCACAACTGATTCATTATCAATCTTCTTTGCCCCTTTCCACTTCCAGAACCTTAAGATCTTTTCTAATCAGCAGCTTTTAACCATTCCATGCTCTCAGAGGACATTCAGAGGGGACTGAGTGTTTTCTGTTGCTGCTCCAAGATTGTGGAATAGTTTACCACTGTTTATAAAGACATCCCCCACAACAGACATTTTTAAATCAATTTTTGAAAAAAAATTCATTTGAGTCCTTGAAAGGTCTCCATCATCCAGGTATCTGTTTGTTTGTCTTGTTATTGATGGTGTCTATTGATGGTTTTTTGCTCTCTGCCTCTTTATTGATTTATTTAATCTATTTGATTTTTTAATTGTGTTCTTTTTATTTTATTCTGTCTTAATCATATACAGATTTGATTTTACTGTGCAGACTTTTATTTTGGTTCACACATGCTGTCTTTAAATGTTTTATAAAAAATAAAGCTGACTTGATTTAATGATCAAGATATGTATGTATATGAAAGCAGGAACTGTGTTGGACTTGCGCTCTTGTCCTCACCTGTGTTAATGGGAAAGCCGGGTGTCTCTCACAGGTTTTGTGCACGGTTACCCGCACAGTGTGCAGCAAAGCACCTGCGGAAGGTTATGAGTTCAAATCCTGGTCTACTGAGTAAGGGCCTTAACCCTTATCTGTTCAGCTCAGCTGAAAGTCATTTTGGATAAAACTCTCTGCCAAATAAATAAATGTAAATGTAAAATGTACATGCTAAAGAGGGCAGTGAGTGAGGGTGAACATACTGTACAGTTTGGTAAACTATTTGCTCACAAAGCAACTGATTCTTCATTTAATGATCAAGATATATATGTATATGAAAGCAGGAACTGTGTTGTCCGCACCTGTGGTAATGGGTAATGGCATCTCTCACAGGTTTTGCTCACTGATACCCGCACAAGTTTGCGGATGTGCCCGCTCATTGAGATCAGAAACTACTGATCGGAAGGTTATGAGTTCAAATCCTGGTTCTCTATTAGGCTCTTGGGTCAGGCTGTCATCTGTTCAGCTCAACTGTAAGTCATTCTGAATGAAATTGTCTGCCAAATGAATAGCTGTAAATGTAAAAGCTGATCTGATAAAGAAGCCAGTGAGTGTAGGTGAATTCCTCTGTTCCTGTATCATACAGTTTGGTGAATTATATGCCCAAACACACTTGATTCATCACTGAAAGACCAGGCTATGCATGTGTGCATGTATATTTGTATGCATGCATGTATGTGTGCATGAATGTATATTTGCATGTATGTATGTGCGCATGTATATTTGTATGCATGCCTGTATGTGTGCATGAATTTATATTTGTATGTATATTTGTATGCATGTGTGCATGTATGTATGCATATATTTAAATGTGGGCATGAGTGTATGTATGTATGCATGTATATTTAAATGTATGCATGAGTGTATGTATGCATGCATATATATAAGAGCAGCAGATTGAACTATTACACTCTCGTCCTCACCTGAGGTAAAGAGGAAACCTGGTGTTTTTCATAGCTTTTGCGCACACAGTTTGCCTAAATTCATTCCCAAAAAATTATCACCACACACAACTTTTCAGACGCCTGAAAGTGTCCCCAGGAGCGTAGTAACCTTCTGGGCAGCTGATGCAGCATAGAGACGCGCAGCAAGGACAAACTTAACACAGCCAAGTCGGACAACTTTTACCTCACAATGCTCCAACACGCCATTTTTACTCACAGATTTTGGCGACGCTGGCCAGCAGGAGCCAAATGGCTATGATGTACGGTGTCTGTACGTAGCTCCATTCCCACTGCACTATCCTATAACCCCCTCCGTGGTGGTGGTGAGACGCTTCGCCGTGGACCGTAGTCGGGGTCGGCTGCTCTGCCGAGCGGGCCAAAGCGAGCCCGGGACGCCCGGACTCCTCAGCATCGGAGCGGGACGGAGCCGGAGTCAGAACCGAGGACGGAGCCGCTCCATCCCCATAGCGCTCAGTCACCGCCTCGCCGGCAGCAGCACTGAGAACCAACACCAGAGTCAAGGAGAGCATCTTCTGTTTACAGGTCTGCTCTCAGCTCTCAGCCGTCTCCATCGCGCTTTTATACCGCCCCGGTACCGGTTTACAACATCACCACCTCAGTGACCGCCGGTAACTCGCGAAGGTACGTCCTGCTAATGCGCATGCGCACACAGAGCACAGGTCTACCTCAGAAAGACCATACTAGCGTACTAAACAGGCTAGTGTGCATGCCAAACCTCTCAATGTAATTTTCACATACTACATACCCACCACGCACTATATAGCAACTGGTATACATATTTGGTTGTTAGATTTGATTGTGTTTAACATTTCTAACCTTCAGGGTCAAATATTCCCAGCGTATATTATTTGACAGCGTATATTAAAAGTTCACAGCGAAATTCACACCTCAATATATGTCTAATTAACATTTCTAAATAGCCTAAAACAAATAAAATATCACTCCAAATTTCTGGACAACATGAATAACTGAAAATACAGTCTAAGACAGCGCTTAGAGCAAGACTTCATTTCCACCGTTAGTGTGGGTTATGTGGTTAAATCGTGACCCCTTGTGGACAAACAGGGAAACGTCGGCAATGTGGAATGAGCTGTAGGGGAGAGTGGGGTAAAATGACCTCTAGCGCGGTTGCTAAATGTCGCTAGATGACGCCACGCACTAATTAGCATATTCATGACGCAATCGCGTCGTATTTGCATTCTGCCAGCCCTTTACGTCTGTTTGCTCCTCTCCTACTCTGTGCTCACACTAATATTTTAATACAGCCGAATTCCCAATAAAGCTGTTCTCATTTACATATTTTTCTGTCTCTGTTGTCAGACAACGGAACGAGTATGAAAAAGTGACTGAAACACAGCCCACTAAGACTACACATTAACCAGAAGTCACTTCCAAGCCATTCCAAGCTGCTGCTCTGCACTGCTAAAATCCTGATTTTATAACAGTGACGTCAAACAGTTGACGTTTGACGTCATCCAAAAAGTCTCTAGATTTGTCTAAATGGCTTCTTAGCTGTGATTTGATTCTCTCTGGTGCCGTCGTTCCTTGTAAAAAAGAAAGTGAGTGAGGTCACGTTGAAATGCTTGACTTAAACAACAGACAACAGCATGCAAGATACGCCACGCCCCCGCTGAATTTAAACAAACCTGACAGTACCTTGGCGAGATAAAATACGGAGCTGGAGATGGTGCAGAACCCCGATGGTGTATAAAGATGGAACCGGCGTCAGTCTGAGGAGGCGACTTATACTTATTCTTACTGCAACCCCAAGTCTCTACGTTTTAGTTTCTCCTCATTGACCGTCAATGTATTTTCGTGGATGTTTTCTTGATTTCTGTTGTTCCACTGAGTCAGAGTCAAGGAGCTAGTGGAGGTAGGCTAGACGCCACGCCTACACCAGTGAATGGAAAAAGACTAAAATTGCATGTACACCAGGGGTGTCCAATCTTATCCACAAAGGGCCAGTGTGGGTGCACGTTTTCTTTCCACTCAAGCAGGAGCCACGTCTGATTCCACCTGTTTAATCAGTTGATCTTGGCTTTCAGTAGACTCAGGTGTGGCTTCTGCTTGGTTGGTATGAAAACCTGCACCCACACCAGCCCTTTGTGGATAAGATTGGACACCCCTTGTACATGCAGTTTCATGGTATTACTCTAAAATAAGTGAATAAACTTCCTAGAAAGGAAAAAAATTACAGTAGAGTAGAGTGTCTATAGAGAAGAGGTAGAGGAGCTTGCAGACCATGTCAGATATTTTTCTGACTGGGTCAGCTGTCTTAATCCAAAGAAACACCATGACCTAGATTTTATACATTGGCAAGAAAAATTATTTTAAAAATTACTTTTACATGAAAACGAAGTGAGTCAGTTTCCCCCCTTTTTTCCCTTTATGGTAGATACAGGCAATATTGCCAATCTTGCAGTTTTTCTTATACTTTCTTGCAGTTATAATTTAATCAAAATATTTTGAAACATCTTTTTTAATGCATGAGCTGTTTGTTAGTGTGAAATCTTTCATCTTAAGTAACCACTTTATCCTGATCAGGTTCTTTGTGAGTTTTTATGTTGTTCTGGTAAATTAAATTAAATTAAGCTTTCATTGCTCCATCTGTCTAATCAGTGCATGCTTGTCCTTTGCAGCTGTGTTTATGTTTAGGTAGCATTCAAACACATGACTTACGTACGCTAGATCACCATTTATTCAAATAAACCCTTCTCCTTGTTCAGTGGGGCAAGGATACATTTGGAAGGAGTCAGCTCTTGTTGGTGAACTAAGCCAAATGATCTGACTCACTGAAGAGAGACAGAATTCCTATCAAGTTGAGCCACAGGAACTTTTTTTTTTTTTTTTTTTGAGGAATCACATTTTCAAGGTCTTTGGTTATGCATGCATTCTAATAATTTCACTTATTCTCGAATAAGCATAGCTCTATTTTTTTTTTTGTTTTAACTTTTATCTCATTTGTCCTTGCCTAGGAGACAACTGTCATTTTACCCGACTCTCCCCTACAGCTGAGTGCAAAAGTTTCCATCGAAAATCGAGAAAAATCGACCACTATTTTATTGTTTATTTACCAGGATCTCTCGGTCTCCAGACCGTATTTAATCATGGCAGTGTATGAAAAAGGTGGCGGAGTTAAAACAGATTTGTCAAAGAGACT